CAAAAAACATTTATGAGGAAATTGAACACCACTCTGAGTCTGAGCCTTAGTGCTACAGATAGACCTTGTGAGCTTCTGTGGGAACTTTGCAAACATGGAAGCAGAGAAAGTGTGAGGAAGAGGAAGACAGAGAGGAGGTGAAATATGAGGGCCAGAACAAAGAAGACCTGGAAATAGACAGACACATATTTCAGATGACATCAGGGCCACTTTGGTGGGACATGTCATAAAAGGTAATGATAAAGGTCTTCACTTTCTAAACTGAATCTTTCAGTACATCAACACTCTTACACATACTGAGCAACAAACACTCCACAAGATCAATGCTACAGACTGATGAAAATATAATGTATTTCTCTCCATATACCCAAATCAGTCAACTTGTCAACATGGAGAATCACAACAAAACATGTCCCAGTTTTCATGCTACTACAGTAGTGTACGTAACATTGTAAGCTCAGTAAATATCAGACGAACATAAAATACTGTATCCAGTACAGCTACAATTACAGTAAAAAAAAACAAAAAAACAAAGAATCTGAAAAAAATTGAAAATACAGTACAGAAAAACATTATCTCTCTGCCTAGATGGATCTGGCCAGATAATTTCATCAACATCACAGGTGATATCCTCATTGGCAAGACAACGTGGGAAGAACTGTCTTGAATGTTGAATCCATCCTTGCACAGCTGCGGTGTCGATTTGGTCACAGGTCTCCATGGCCTGAATGAGGGGTACCTGAGCCTGGGGCTGGAGATCGTAAACCCTCCACAGCCATGCCGAGAAAAACTCTTTGACTGGGTTTACAAAATGGAGAGTATGGTGGAAGGTACAATACTGTAAACTGTGGATGGTGTTGAAACCAGTTCTGGACCAGAGCAGAGCGGTGGAATGACACATTGTTGATTACAATGTATTGCATCAGGTGATTTGGTTTACTGCTGTGACGATGTTGTGCAATCAGTCCAAAAATGTGAGAATATGAGGTGTGTTGTAAGGGCCCATATTGGCATGACGGAAGAGGACCCCATTCTATGTAATGGCAGCGCAAAGGGTGATGTTACCCCTATGTTGTGCTGGGACATTGATTATAGCCCTATGGCCAATGATATTTCTGCCTCTCCTTCTTGCTTTTGTGAGGTTAAACCCTGCCTCATCTATGTATATGAATTCATGTGGGATTTCCTCAGCATCCATCTGTAAAACTCTCTGAAATACAGTGAAAGACAAGATTGTGTAGTTCAGCATAGATCTATTGTACAGTAAATTTACATGTACTTCTTTTCCTCTTTTCTTGTCGAAATGTCCTAATGACAGATGCTACTGTATATGTGCTAAGGTTTGGCTGAACTCTTAGTTCAGCCTCCCTCAGTGTCAAGCCGTGGTTCACAGCATGGTCAACTAGTGTTGCGCAAATTTCATTTGATAAATTTGGTCCTCTTATTCTTTGAGCACATTATATTCCTGCTTCAGGTCTTCCTCTTCCTCTACCTCCACCTCAGCCTCTACCTCTGGCACGGCCTCCGCCTCTTCCTCTTTCTCTACCTCCTTCTCTTCGCCATGGATTCCCCCTCTCACCCTCACTCTTCCTCTTCTGACTCCTTCCATTTTGGTTGAAGACAGGTGAACTCACGTGCTGCATTTTTATAGTGCTTAAACCTGATTGGTGTGTCTACAATTAAGCAATTGTGTTTGCGCACCTGATGGCTGTGTTTAACCAATTAGCTCATAGGTATGGTAATTTGACAGTCAGTGCTCTGGAATAACATGTAACATGGTGCATGTGTGTATGGTTTTGTTAAGGAAATGCCCTTCTGAAAAAGGATTGTCAGGTTTTTGTTGCAGTGTTTCATTTTGATATAGAAGTGAGATGTTCAGCTCCAAGTGCTTTGTCTTATTTGGCTTGTGTGTTGAGTTTTGACACAATGAGCCAAATTCTGGAATAAGTGCGTAAGCAATTGCAAAAAACTGTAACCAGATGAAGGATTTTAGTCAATGGACAGCTGGATCTTGAGTTATCAGAGAAACGAGACAAGCAAATGTTAGGCAGCAAATCTTGCTGCCATCAAAATACACTGGAAGAAAATAGAGTTTGCTTTGTCATGCTCTTGCATGCATAACTGAAGCAAGGAATCATACTATCCTGAGTAAAGTTGTTTTACAAATATTATATTTATTTAGAGTCAACAACAACTCATTTCAATATTTTATCAAGCAGGAGACAGCATTATTGCTTTGCTCACAATACAAGATGATGTATTTCAGGCAACATTACAGACACATTAAAATTCAGAATAGTTTGAAACACTTATGTAGAATAAAACAAGTATTTTCTTTTTCATAGAAATGTATTGGGGAGCAATCAGACAGTGTTGCAGTCCATCTCTAGGCCAAATAACCTTGTGAGGTTCTCCTTGGGATGGCACAATGTCAAATACATGGTTGTTATAAACTGCCAAATCAGGTTTGGTGGCCTTTCATATGTTTTTCCAAGCTAATGTCAGAAGGTTTCTCTAGCTGTGACTTAGTTGGCATTTTGGTTCTGTGGGACATGGAGAATTAAAACTTCTGACAGGTCACATTCTTTGGGGAAAAACTCAGGTGATACAAGATGCAAGCTGTAAACTGCTTTTGTGAAATAGGCCCCAAGGAGTGGACTGTATCCTCAACAATACTGTATATTCATGATCTTTTATTTTTATTTTTTATTTTGTGCCCAGAAATTATAGTAATATTTACCCAGAGCCCCTTTGCCCTGATACTGCTGGTTAATATACTATTTTTTTCTTTCCCTCCAGAAGTTGCATAGGGCACACTGAATCACAACATAAAATATAGAGTGCTGTTACAAAATGGGGCTGATGTGTCTACTGACAATAAAGACATACTGCCACAACATGCACTAAAACAGGGTTAGCCTGGTGCAGGTTGCTTACTAAAATGATAGTTAAAGATAAATGTTCTTGCATAGCTGTCACTAACATAACAACCTGTATAGCCTTTTAATTACATATAATTAAAAAACATTTTTAAAAAATTAAATAATAATAACAATAACAATAATAATGATGATGTTTGTTTACTGTAGACTCTACTGTTTCATACACAAAATGTAGGTAAGCCTGCTTCTGTTAAGGGGGCTAAACATCACGGTTCAATAGAAGAGGTGAGTCATTGAGATAGTCGGAGGTGGGTGGGGGTGGGGGTCACCTGGTAGAGTGCGCATCATGGTGGGTGTAATCCTAACCACAGTGTCCCAGGTATGGGTCTGACCTGTGGCCCTTTGCTGAATATCATCTTCTCTCTCTTTCTAAGAAGAAAAAAGTGATGAACCTGGCTGGGACTTGTCCATTGCCTAATTGTGACTTTTGATGTTAAAAGCATTGAACAACAAGTGCCTCCTGGCTGGGTTAATCACTTTTTAGTGTCCCCTGGAAACATATTTGCAGCTCATGTGTTTTTAAACTGATGAAGATGTTTTCTGAATTTGTTTGTGTTTTGTCTGATTGCATTTGTTTTCTTTAGCTGCAGTATGTTGAGCTTGGGCCACAGTACTTAACTGCTTTCTTGAGTACATCTTAGCCAGGTGTGTAATGTAATGTAATGAAACATTTACAGATTTGTGTACCCTTAACAAATCTGAGCAGTTTTCTCAAAATCTGTGTGTGTGCATCTAAAGATGTATGTACACATTCTCAAATCTCATTAGACAAAGCTGAATACACATTTAAAGATTCCTGTACAGATTCACAAATTTGAGTGCACATTTAGAAATTGTTGTATACATTTACAAAAGTCTACATACATATTGATTTCACTATATAATCGCAAAATATTTCATATGGGGTTCTATTTGTGTCAAAAATATATCTACATGTGCATGTCAACTGTACATTCAACATTCAACTTCAAACTGTACATTTGTCATCTTGTCACGCTCCCTGTTGTTGGACTGTGTTGTTTTACATGTCTCCTGATGTGTCATCTGATTATGTTGTTGTGTTGTGCTGTGTTGTTTAAACTACACATCAGGACGACATACACAACATGCTCAAAAAGTTCAATTGAAAAAGTGGGCTAGTAGTCAGACTTCAGATAGACGTCTGAATTCATCTGTTATACAAAGCCTGGTACAATGAATTCTTGGTAAATTTAGACTTAAAGTAAAAAAAATGGCCGACCGAGGAACCACATCCAACTGCTGAGCTCCAAAAAATGTTTGTCTTTTGGAAGGATTTACAAGGATGTTTTACTTTACTCTGCAGTCTCTAAAAATAATTTCTCTTCTGATTACTCAAATTATGGGCTATGTTTTCCTGTTTTTTGTTGTTATCTACTGCTCAGCACAGGTGTCATTGATTGTTACCATGGTAACGTTGGTCTTAGGCCTCAGGTAGCCTGAGTCTAATATATTTGTCTTAAAATGACCCTAAAATGAGTCTTTATTTTTGTCAAACAGTCTGACTAACAGGATGGACCAACACTACAGATCAGTCTAAGTCTCAGCCCCTGATTTTAAAGTTTGACAGTGACAATGAGATGGTTGAGATCGTGTGAAATCCGATTTGTTACTGAAAACCTCCAGTCAGCTGATTACAAGAAGTGCGGTGAGAGAGGGAGAGAGCAAGAGAGAACTGTAAGGGAATGAGGCATAAAGAGTCTTCATGACTGAATTTACAACATCAATACAGTTTGAAGTTGAATTGACGGACAAAAGTCAGATGAGGAATTGACACAAACAATTCGATATAAAATTGTTTTGTCACAACTGAAGTTTCAGTTTAAAGTTGATTAGACATGGATTCAGTGGATATAGACAGTGTGTATGGGGACATATTGTTACATGTTTTTGCACACATGGAACCCCACACGCTGTCTCTTTATGTAGCCAGCTGCTCTCTTGGTTGTTGGAATGTTCTGAACAAGAACAAAAACAGAGTTTAGTGTGGCCTGAGAGGCAGATTGCAAGCAGTTTTGACTGAGCTAAGAATCACTGTGAGTCACTGTCATTAGAGGTTTTTGGTGCTATTGGTGTGCAGTCCAGAGCGAGGCTGAGCCATTGTGCTGTTGTTGTTGCTCCTGCTGCAATTCTCCTTGCCCCCTGCAGAGGCCCTGCTCTCCAGGATATAGACCTTGCCTTGCTCTTCTTTCATGAAGAGGTCAACCAATAGAATCTTCTCCTTGTGGATCTGAAGGCTTATGTCCTTAGGGATGTCTGGAATTAGCCAGTCCACAATGTCGCTCATCAGCATCACAACATTCTGGTAGAGATAAATGGAAGACAATCATGTTTTCTTTTCTTTGTCTTCTTTAATTAATTATAAAACTTAGTCAATGCAGATTCTTTCAACCCTGAAGGAATATATGTGATGTTCTGTGTAAAATGTGAAGTTACATGAAATAACAAAAATTTATGGAAGAAAATTTAGATGCAAATTAAATCAAGAAGACTGGAAAAAACAAAGCCACGTGATAAATATTGCTTTGGTAAATACACAAACATGGCACAAATGATAGATAACAGAGAAATCCCACAGCCTTATACTGTGGGTTTTACTGACATGAGTCTACAATGTCCAGAAGTGAAAATGGAACAGAGCAGTATTGGCTTTATGGATGAGTAGTTGTGGACCACACTGACCCCTCAGTTGAATTCAGTCACTGACAAAAGAAAACCAGAAATAAAGCTCTAAGTCCATCACAGCATCTTTTAGGGTTTGAGGCAAAACTGAATTAATATACAATCAAATCCCTAGTTACACTTATATAACACATATCTGAGCTCCGAGTTTCTACTGAAGTGCTGCACGGAAATATATTGGTATTGGCACACATGCATTTTTTTCTGCTAAGTTTTTGTGGGGTTAATACCTTCCTTAGAAATTTTAGGTATGCCATGTTGATGGAAAAGATCTGTTGATGCCATATTGACATCAGAGCAGCAACTGCACATAAACTGACACCTTCCACTACAGTTTCTATGTCTAGGCTGAATCTGAATATGATACAGATATGAATAAATATAAATATATTTTTTAACCATTTTAGCAGCAGCATGTGGAGACAGTGACATTTTAGTGATGTTTTCTGTCAAAAAATAAATCAAAAATGAATTTATAACATTGGAGTAACCTGCTAATGGCCATTATCCAAGGCAAACACTATGTAGAGAGAAAGAGCTGGCAGGAGCAGCGATGCAGTGACCACCTGACAAATGGCCTCTTCACAGTTCAGCCAAGTACCAAGTACCACGCTGAAGATCTACACACATGCAGCTAAAAGTAAGAGACTTGTGTCTCATCAGAGACTGGAGTAACAGTGTGTACCGTCAGCACTGTTGTGCTGCTGTTGTTAAGGACAGACTGTTATGGCCTGTGCTTGCTGTGAAACACTGTGAAGGGTTTACCGTTGTTTGCTGTTGTGTTAGTTTCTTCATGGCGAGTACAGTCAATGAGCTACAGTTTCAGTGGTTGAAAGAACAGTTCATTGGGTGTCTCTGCTTTGTGTACTTCTTAACATCTACTCCTTCATCTCTCACCTCCCTAGGTCTAATCTTGTGGTTGAGCTTGCCAATTTGAGCTTCACTCACATGATGTTTCCCTCTCTCCACACAAACACACATGCACCCATTCACACACATACTCTATGAATCTGCAATAGTATTCTTACTAGGAAAAAACTAATTTTAGACTAAATAAACACCATCTTCCTGTGTGACACTCACTGAATATGAACCGTTCCTCATTTGTCCTACGAACAAAATGAATGTTCATCTTGCAGTTCATACACCCAAAAGAGTTGTTCTTTTGCAATGAATCGTTTGCAAACAACACGACTAACAGAGACAATGTTAACAAGAAGAGAACAAAGGCTGCACAGGTGAATTTGCAAAACCATGGGGAAATGAAGGCACAGAGAAATAGCAACAAAATACACAAGAATTAAAGAGACATTTAAGCCACTTCTACTTCACTATGGTGGAGTGTTTGTGGCTGACATAAAAGAGAAACTTTTCCCAAAGGTGTAAAGTCTTCACTGCATGCTGATAAACAGAGTAGATACTTAACATTAATCCACAACAGAAATGATGAAACAGACCCCTGAAATGAATGTGCTGTCAGGAGGTGCAGTGCAACATAACTGATCTGATTCACACAGAATGCAACATAACTGATCTGATCCACACACAATCATTATACACAGAGAGAAACCTACTGTCATGGTTTGCTATGGCAGACACTTTTTGTTAGTTTTGTTTTGGACTTTCTCACTTCCTGTTTTATTTTGTAATAAGGTTTCCTTGTGTGTCTCAGTGTTTTGCTTCCTGTCTTGGTCTTGTTTGTGTGGTGATTGTCTGCCCCACCCTAATGTGTTTTACCTGTGTTCAATCACTCTTGCCTCCCTTGTCTATATAGTCTTTGTGCTCCCCTTTGTCTCTGTCGGTTCGTCTGTTGTTCTCTGGGTATGTCCTCAATCTGTTCATGTCTGTTTAATCCTCAATCTGTTCATGTAGTCTGTTCATGTCTGGTTTGTTTTTGGTCTGTTCATGTTACCTGTTCATGTTCTCCTGTTGTCATCCCCTATGGTTCCCTGTGCTTGTGATATAAGTTCTTTTTTTAAATAAACCTGCCTGCACCGTCTCCCATGTGTTGGCTGCATTTGGGTCCTACTTACCACACACCTTGACACCTACACATGAAAGTAGGCAGATCAGTCTCTGCACTGACCAGGGCGGAGTTGCTATTATAGATTTAAATGTTCAATGAGGTCTGCAATAATTTAATACAATTTCTAATAAATCTGTGTGATTTGCTGCTTTTCTTCATGTTTTACATTACCTGGAAAACAATGACAAAGGCCAGTCGGACAGCCAGCACCGCCCAAAACTCCTTGGAGATCTCATATGGAGTGGTTGACCATGGAGGTTCTCTGTAGTCTTTATACCTTCAGAGACAAAGAGACATGTTTCAAGTTTGCTCTTTAGTTTTGTCATTTAGTGATAATCCAGGAACTGATGTAAAAACTGGCTGATGTTGTTCTCCCTGTTGGCATCAGCCTGTCCCTGAGTCACTGTGTGATTTGTTAGGGTTAGGGTGAACCAGTCAGGTGGGAGGAGAGGCACAGCTAAGGCTGTGTGTTAGCTGATTGGCCATCACTGTAACATTTTTGGCATGTGCGCCCGATTATGTTCAAACTTGATAACTTCTTATCACAAATGCAGAGCAAATGTCATGTTTGTTAGTAGAGTTGCTTGCAGATGCTTAATTCAAAAGATTGTATTTGATGATGTTTTTCCCAACATCAGACTGTAAAGTTTTTACTCACAGTTTCCATATTTAACAGCAAAATCATTTGGAATAATGTGGCTGTGCTCTGGATGATCAAATCAGGACATTTTAATTATAAATACAAGTTCAAATTTCGCTTTCTCTGGAATGTTTTTCTATAATAACATGAAGCTGTGTCTTGGACTACCTAGCTAGGAATAGAGCTAAAGAGTCTGGAAGTGAGTCAGTGTCACTCTGACATCTTGACTCACCTGCTGTTACAGCAACAGGTGAAAAATGTACAATGTGCAAAATACTTGTGTAGATAGATATATGTAATTCTCAAAATTGTATCTTAAAAACAGAATATTTGACACTGGTTTGAAATTTGCCTTGGATGGATGGACAGATATCATATCATACCATGCACCCTGCTGGATGCCTTAGTCACAGCATGGCGCCTTCTCTGTTCATACCACTTACAGATAACTCAGTAAGTCCATGTCTTGCTCTTGTGTCAAAGGCTGTGAGTTTGAGCCCTGGGTGAAGCTGAGTAAATGCACTTTATTTGCTATACCCCTCTTTTCCCATCCATGACTGCTTGCATAGGTTGCATATGACTTCATGTATGTTTAACATGGGAAAGATGTTTTCTGAATTTGCAGCGTGTTTGTGTATTTGCATGTGTTTTCTGTTATGTGATCATGTGATTATGTGTCCATATGTGGATTTTGCACATGTGAAATTCATGTGGCTTTCATGTGGATCTTAATCCACCTGGACAGCTATGGAAGGAGATGAAACTCTCAAGGCACCCATCAAATCTGAGAGAAGTGGACAGGTTTGCTCAGGAAGAGTTCAGTCAAGGTAACGGTTGAGAGGTGTACAAGTCTCATCAAGAGCTACAAAAGAGCATGCTGCAGAACTTTGGTCCAAATATTTAGTCCCATCTTCAGTTATGGCGTTATGTAAAATAATATATTACACTGAATACCAAAAGAAAATAATTTGTTCTATTATATATGAAAATATGATATTCTTTTGTAGGCGGATGTGTACCATTTGATATTTAAATTGTTTAGCATAGAGACATGGCCAAACTTCCATTTCCACATTTTATAATGAAACTGAAAACTGTGAACTGAGATTGATTTCCCACCTGCAAATCTCAATGGTGTAGCCAAGGTGCAGTGGATCCATAGTTTCTTTGCCATCCTGGAAGTGGCTGACATTAAAATAGGACAGTGTATGATTGACAAATCCATGCATGGAGCCATCTGGGCTGTACATGTACTGGTAGACCATCCGGGGTATGAAGTCTGAAGTGAAGGAGATGACGAATGCCTAGGAATTGTGGTTGGGGAGGTTGTAGAGTAGAGGATCAGAGATGAGGGACAGAAATGGGAGTTAGACTGAGTGTGAATAAAACATTCATATACTATGTGTAAACAAGACAGAATGGAATAGAACAATGGAGTGTCATGTTGAAATGAACAATCCACGGGATGACAGTACTTGACTTGACACTTGCATTTGTTTAATCATTCATACGAGAGGCTTGTCTGGTTCTACTGTCTGGGAGTTCCATGAAGTCAAACTCTCTAAACATTGTTTATACCTTCATTCAAAGTCTTTAAGGTCACAGTCATCAGAGCCACATGGATACAGGTGTGAATTGATGTGAAACAAACTGAGAATGACACTGTGACACTTGAAACAAACTAGTTCATACAATGTGTGGTTCCACTCATTAAGATGAGCTGACAAACACAATTAACCCTTACACTGTGTCTACATTACTCACTTCTTCACTTCTTCTGGAATACAGTGGTAGACCTAAAATGTTTGGTGGCTGCAGCATTATTACATTATTATTAGCAGAATGTATAAGCAATAGCAACAATAGCTCAGAAATCGAGTACGCTAATAAGCGACTCCAAAAAGCCCAAAAAGAGGATTATATCCACTGTAGCCTGTCTGGCCAAACGGGATTTGGACCGAAATCGGGTGAAAAGTAGAGTTTGGAGCGACGCCGATGTGGCTTTCCTCCTGTAGGAGAGGTAAGATAACATTAAAACAAATCATGTGAAATAATTGTGTGTGAATTTGATATTGTGGTTTTCGCTGTCTTGTTACCCAAGTTTAGCCAGGTTAGCTTTCTTGCTAACGCGGATGAACTGCAAAGTAACATAGCAATATTTTGTGATGAGTGGATAACGTCAGCTAATTCATCCGGACCCCCGGGGCTGATACGGATGGCTTGTTGTTTGAAAATTACTTTGTCAGCTAATATTACGAAGCAATCAACGCCAGATCAATGCAGCGTAGCTAGGCTACTGCTAGATGGCTAACCTTTGCATGCTTGTTATCGGTAGAAACTCACTATTCGAGTGAGTATTTTAGTTGGCTAGTTTTTTTCCGTTGTCCTACTGACAATCAGAAAAACAAACAGGACCGAAAATGTGACATCCTTGGCGGAGCTAGCTAGCTGTAACTTAGCCACCCTGCATGGATCTGGTAATTTGCAAATGGCAAACTAGTTAGTATCATGAAGCGAATGGTCAAAAGAAAATCTAGGAACATTACAGAAAGTACTGTTATTCTAAATATGATTGCAATTTATTTTCCAGCATTCTAAATATTATTGTATTTTGTTTCCAGCTACCATAAAACAAAAAACCACAGCACTGGCAAGTCAGGGAAATAAGTCATCGAACATCAACAACTGAAGGAGAATCTGATGGTTAGTTTGTTTTTCATTTCTAACTAGAAGATGACTCAATGTCAATGACAACATTACCAATATGTACGTACAACAGTATATGAAATGATAAAACATTATCACATGACTATGCTTTCTCTGCTTATGATATTCCATTCTACAGCTGGGATATGTGTATAGACTAAACAGGGTTATTTGGTGATACTGAAATGTTATCTCAACAGGAATGATTTTCAAATGGCTGGAGTTGTATAATGACTAGACATTATCGCCGCAATGAACCCCTGTCTGTGATTCTACATTGTGTTATTGTCCCTTTTGTATTGTGTGATATGTACTCATAATTGTTTTGTGTGTAGCATCAAATCCATGGAAATTTTGGAGGACTCTGTTGTAATGGATGAGAAAAAGGTAAACAGCTTTATGAACACGCTTTATGAAGTTGAACACTTCTCCACACCACATGTTGTCATATAGCATGTTTATTTTACAACATGGAAGGGATTTTTTTTTTTTTCGTATGTTGTAGAGGTATTTGGACAACAAACTGGCTTCTGACCAGTTAGATGTTCACTTTGTCCCACCTATCTGTGTGCGGTATGTATTGGCAAAACTTGGCCTCTAAATGCTCATAAATTGGAAATATCCATACAGTTCTCTGTTGTTGAAGTTTCATTTGTATTTTGCTATGCATATATGCATTTTCTACATATTTTCTCATGCAGTGCTGCTTGTGGATCACAGAAGGTCATGGACATTGCTCCATGGACATAATCAATGTAGTAACAGTGGACAAGAGACAGACCAACCGAAACAGAGTGACCATGTAGAAGCACGCCTTCATGTAAACAATGGACAGGTTTCTGGAGGAACTAAATATCAACTACATATTTCAGCACTGATGAGTGAGTATAGATTCAAGAAATTTTTTTTAAGTACTGGTACATTGGATTACATGTACTTATCGAATGTAGTTAAAAAAGACTTGAAATGTGAGTGTCTTTTTGTATTTCTTTTTTCCGGACCGAGAGAAATTGAGGTACAAGGATCAGGGTGTGATCTATTCACTGGACATCTGGCATGCAGCCAAAAATCTGACAAAGAAACTTCATGCGGTAAGAGTGAAAACGAGTTGAGTTGGCTTTTCGATCTTATGTAAATTACATTTTGATGGTAAGTAGAATATTTTTTTCCTTTTTTGTTCACAGGGTGGGGTGATATCTGGTCAGTCCGCCATATTGGTCTGGATGAGGGACATTGTCAACCATTTTTGGCAGACAATCGAGAGGAGTTCATGGTGAGTGTAATGGGCTTTCACAAGCCAATACAACCACGACAAGGACATATAAATATGTTATGGTTTGGTTTTTGATTTATTTTTGTGTTGAGCCTCCAGTTAACCTCTGTCTCCTCTCTCACTCTGGGCAGCACGGAGGGGCGGGGCCGGTTCTCGGCAGCAGCCTCATTGCCATACCTGTTCCTGATTTCTTGCAATCAGCATAGTTATTTAAACCTCTCCCAAATATTCCCCTGTGCCACACGATTCATTCGCATGCCTGCTGTTCCTTGCAACATTCACGAGAACCTGCCTCATCTCCCACTCTGTATTTCCAGCGTTTATTTTTTGTGTGCTAGTGAGTATTTTTTCCTCCTGGACAACTTCAGTTTATTCTAGAGTTTTTGCCCCTCGTGGTATTTTGTGTTATTGTTCTTTTGTTGTTTTTCCCTCAGCAGCCACTTGAGTGGTCCTTCGTTAGTTTTTCCCTGTTGGTGATTTTTAGTTTTTGTAAATAAACTTTGTTCATCTTCTGCATCTGCAATTGGGTTCTGGCTCTCCTTATTTTCACACGTAACACAAATACTTTGAAATGAAGTGTGGCTCAGCTGTCATCAATTCAATTTGTATTGATTCACTGCATACAGGGCAGGGAGCTCTTGCATTACATTCATTTAGCTGACGCTTTTATCCAAAGCGACGTACAATAAGGTTCTTGCTGTTCTGTTTGCTAAGTGTCTTATGATTCTTGTTGTGCATTGCGTACATGAAAGTACCACTGAAGTTAATCCACGTCCACTGAAATGTGTTCTACTACTGCAGTTGCTTGCTAAGCTAGCTACTCCTATTGGTGGTGTGTAGATGTGCATGAATGAGGAAGACTGCAGACAGTCACGGTGTAACACCCGTTAGCTTTTATTAGCTAAGAAAACCAACAACAACTTTCTGTACCCAGCATTCCCAGCGCCCCAACATCATCACGCTGTAGCAGTAACCATAGAAACTGTCAACACAGTCTACATCCCCCTTCTTAAGTTATATGTCAACGAAGCACATATTCTAAAAAAAAAATAAAAAAATAAAATCCAAAAACGGGGGGAGGACAACAGATACATGTTACATGTTCTGCATTTACACATTATATGCATAACCCACATGTTCATTCTATAGATGCTTGGGGTTTTGTTATAATGCAAGTCTGTGCTATTTTCTATTGAGTGTCCAACAGTCCACACAGCCAGAACCGGCTGCAACATGAAGGGGGGGGCGTCAAATGTCAGTGTGTCTACACATCACAGAGCTGGTCTGTGACTAAGTACTTGTAGAGAGAGCTGGGTCTTGACGCTCTCCCTGAGCGAGTAACAATCACAGGCCGCTGTCCCTGTGACAAATCTGGTCCCACACTGTCATGTTGTGGGCTTCGTGGATGTGCGATTGCAGCAACAGCAGGTGGGTCCCCTGCCATGGATTCAGAAACATAAGTCTCAGGTGTCTGGAGTAGGTGGCGTCTGTTCCTGACATATGTAGCATCTCCAGTCTTGAACGGGTAACTATTGGGTTGTGGGTTGTGGTGCTGTTCCTAGCACTGTCGCCAGCCTGTCATGTCCTCTCTGTGTCTGCATTCTCACTGTCTGCCCAGCTCGCAGTGGAGCCAGCGGCCTAGCTGATTTGTCGTAGTAGGCTTTTCCTCTCTGTCTCGCCTGTGTCAGGGCCATTTGGACCTGTGTCTCCACTCTGGGTGAGTACATGGCTTTGGTCATGGGAATGAAAGCCCTGGTGTGCCGAGAAAGCAGGCATTGAGCTTGCGACGGCAGCCCGTCCCTGGGCATGTTACGTAGGCTGAGGAGAGCTGCATCTATGTCCGTTCCATCTCGTGCACATTTCTCCAGCAGGTGCTTTGCTGAGCGCACAGCCCTCTCAGCAAGCCCGTTGGACTGAGGGTACAGGGGACTGCTGGTGACATGACAGAAGTCCCACTTGCGAGCAAATTCCTGGAACTCCCTACTTGTGAAGTAAGCAGCATTGTCTGTAATGAGTTGCTGTGGCACTCCGTGCCACTTCCTCTCTAATGGCGTAGAATGGCCTCAGATCACGTGGCACCTCTCTAAATGTATCGGGCCAGCCTGCAGCAACGACCTCAGAGAGACGCCGGCACACGGGATCAGCCAATGTCTCACGCTTCAGTTCCTCAACCCTGTGTGAGGAGAGGACGTCCACCACCTTGACCTCGTACTCCTCCATTTCTCAGCCTGGTCAGTGGAGGGCAGATGTGCACGGGAGAGAGCATCAGCGACGTAGAGCTCCCTGCCCCTCTTGTAGATGACCTCGAGGTTGTAACGCTGCAGC